GTTTTGACCGAAAGCCACGAGTTTTGACCGAATGCCACGAGTTTTGACCGAAAGCCACGAAGAGTTTAAGGTTTAAATATACATTGGTAGAGAGGTTTAGGGTTTAGGGTTTAGGGTTTAGGACATTTTCAGGTTTAGGGTTTCGGGTTTAGGGTTTACGGGCTTGGGGTTTAGGGTTTAGGGGCAGGTAGGTAGTTACCGTTGTAGGAGCCTTAAAGAAGGTTTTATATACCTTAAACCTATAGAAGCCTTATAGAAGCCCTATATACCCCAAACTCCCCACCTGTAGTGTCCTTTAACAGGGGTTTGCCAGAGTTCAGGGCTTTACCGGGTCTTTGTTGGATTTTCTGCGGGGGCCTCGTTGGGCGTGGTCGTGTCTTGGGGTATCGTTGAGGCATGTTTGTCAAGCTGACTCTAAACCCTAAACCCTAAAACCGTGGAAGGCCCCAAACCCTAAAACCGTGGAAGGCCCCAAACCCTAAATCCCCAAACCCTAAACCCTAAACCCTAAACCCTAAACCCTAAACCCTAAACCCTAAACCCAAACCCTAAACCCCAAACCCTAAACCCTAAACTCTGCACCCCAAATCCCCAACCTCGAAGCTTCAACGCCAAACCTTCAACCCTAAAGCAGGTTTGGGGGGGTTTAGGGGTTTGGGGGTTTAGGGTTTAGGGGTTTAGGGTTTCGGGGGTTTAGGGGTTTAGGGTTTAGGAGTTTAGGGGTTTAGGGGTTTCGGGTTTAGGAAACCCCAAGCTCATCCATAAATACAAGCTCTTCAAGGAGTGCCTTTAAGACAGCCGGCAGCCTCTACGGGAACTTTCAGGAACTCGAACTCGCAAACCGAAAGCCCTAAATCCCTAAATCCAAAACCCAAAACCCTAAACCGTAAACCCAACCCGAAAAAGCCCGAAGCCTAAAACCCTAAACCCCTAACTCCTGGACCCCAAAGGGTGTTTTTCGGTGTAGGCCGGGTTTAGGGTTTAGGAGGTTTTGGGTTTAGGGTAGGGGCCCAAGCTCCCATGTAGGCACTCTCACAGAACGCTCCTTTGGCCGAGCTTCGGCGGCTCGGGGAGGCGTCGCAGCACTCGGGTGTAGCGGGGAGGGGGGGTTTAGGGTTTAGGGTTAAGGGTTTAGGGATTAGGGGTTTAGGGTTTAGGGTTTAGAGTTCAAGATTTCGGGCTCGTTTTGGTTTGTGCAGAGAAGTTGTGTTTTGCCTGGCGATCGTCATTGACTTCAGACAAGCGCTTCTAGTTCGGCTCACAGGTTCCAAGCGTTAAGGCCTTTACCCTTATTGTTTGGGTTTCAGCGTTTAGGTTATAAGTTATATGTGAGGTTTAAGGGTCAGCTGGTCGAATCAGCCCTTGTGAACCCGCCGTAGCGAGGTATCCTGCGATTCGGATATTCCTTAAGGGTGATTTTTCAGGGTCTCCATTGCGGCTGTAAAGAGCACTCCTTCGTTGCGATGGGATAGCTGATGTTAGCTGGGTGCTGTCAGCGAAGTTGGGGGCTTGAGTGCTCGGATGTTCCCCGAGTCTTGCTGCGAACTACCCAAACCTACTGTTTTGGTTGGCGTCCCTAGACATTATCTTTCAACAAGGGCTACATGGGTAGTTCTCTCAATTTCAGTGGATCCCCTCGCGGGGCCGGAATAGGAAAAGTTCGTTCTCTAAACTAGGGTCCCAGACCCCTAAACCCCTAAACCCCAAACCCTGAACCCTAAACTCCTAAACCCCTGAACCCTAAACGCTAAACCCTAAAACCCTAAAACCTAACCCCTAAACCCCTAAACCCTAAACCCCTAAAACCTAAACCCTCACCCCTAAA